GGAATGAGGTTCCTTCCAAGCACTTTGTGTAGGTCTCCCCTCCATACTCGAGTCCAAATAGGAGACTAACCATATCTCTAGTAAAACATACGAGCCAGGCGAGGAAGAAGAGGTTCGAGAAGGCTTCAACCCCGATGAGCCTGAGCCGCAGAATCCAGAAGCTGAGCACAACCTGAACTATGCGTTTACCGAGAACCAAAGCGAAGAGGAACAGCGGAAACACGACATCAAGCCACACATTGTTAGCGAGGCCAATCACTGGGAAACGCGCGATGTCAGCAACCAGAAGACCAGTGAAGAGGCCGAGGATCATCCCAGTCCGTCCTACGGCAGTTTCAGAGAAGAGCGCAACGCTTGGAATGCCGACTGATGATGCGATCCCGATCCCGATCTCAAGGAGGCACTCATTGTCAGACTTTGGGCCATCGATCTGTTTTATACCCAAGCTTATGCCACACATTTACACCTTGCGATATTTTTTCCTGCGGTGTTAGAATGTCAGCGATATCCTTGTTCAGTTAGCATAACTACGGCGAAATTCATCTACTATACATCTAACTAACGAGTGCAATGTACGGTCCGTTGTGCATTCGTTTCCGCTGTCATCTAGATCATGCGGCCAATGAACCAAGCCCGATGAAAACCTTCACCCCAAACGGGATAGAGGTGGAGATTTGCTCTTCCGCTTCTGTGGAACGGGTACAAATCAGGACGAGATGAGCTTTTTTCGTAAGGCCTCCAAGTCTCTCAATGCGCTGGCACCGGTGAAGATGGGTAGACTCTCCTCACTGTCGCCTCTAAAGTCCATTTCTTGTCTGTGGTTGGGTGAGTTGACTGTTGATTTCTTGCGTGCTTGTTTCATGAATTATGCATCTCACCAATTGCAAACTACCCGCTAGCATGAAGGCTTATACCAGAAATCGTGGGTAGAGGACTGATTCGCTGTCGCACATCCTGGGATGCATGCCGGTGCGGGAGCGATCTTGGCGAGAGCCTCAGCAACCGATGGGGCAGGCGCACGCGTGATTTGCACCTTCCACCAGACCCAGGCATCATGGACCCATCAACTCAACACTACCCTCATATATCGGAAATCCATTTGTGCGCGTCTCAAACAATGACGCTCGTTGCGATGCGCATGTTTCAAACGTCGCAGATAAAGGCCAGTGTTCCAAGGCATCCCCGCCATGTCGCGGTGATCTACCCAAGGACGCGACAGCTGTGCGCATGCTCGAACATGGCAATATGAAGTAACAGCCCTGATGCCAGATCTGCCAACGAAAAGGGACCCAGCGCGCCACATGCCGACAAGGCCTCTGGCAGTTTCAAGCCGCAAGCGCTATTGCCTCGTCACTGGTCCACGTTACTGCGAGTCTCCGCTCTGCCTCGAGCGCTTACTCTATTTTCCTAGCCAATCACACCCGGCACCCTACCATTTCGCCTCAATGCGCGCAAGCCTCCACACGAGCTAGCTGGTGAAGTTGACAACCTCCATGGCAGGGATGCGCTGCCATTGGGCGCGTACAGAATGGTCAGGGACAGGCCTCATCTATAACATGCGAGCCACTGTCGTCCTGTGAAGTGCGAGTGGTTCGCTGTTCCTGACGGCCAGACCTCCAGGATTTGCGCATTCTAGAAGCGAACCATCCGTTGCAGGACAACACATTCGTCGACAGGCTGCGACTTTATCCGAATGGTTCGCGCAGTCAGCCCTTCCTCTCTCATCCTTACCCTTTCCTCCGACCTTCTTCTACTACTCTCTTCTAGTATCTGTTAGTCTTTGCTTTTGCCTGCTTCAGGCACCACACTCTCTGTCACGCTTCTTGTTCGACTGCTTTTGATCATTTTGATGATGGGTTATTAGCTGTACTGGTCTACAGCGTGAAAAGAAGATGAATTACGGGAATATGCAAGAGAAGGAACCCAGGTCCCCATGGCTGGCCATCAAGTTTGGATGCTGTGCATCAAAAGAGGATTTTGTGGACGATGGGAGAAATGCGCTCAGGGCCGCTGGTAAGTTCGATCCCTTCTTCCACTCTCCATCCTCACAACTGTCTCTTCACTTTGCGCACTCTTTTCTGCGGTTGTCTCTACAGATTCCTGCCTCGATCACAGCAGACTGCTGTCCGTTGGTTCCCAACTCCAACGTTCTTGTTGAGATGCACCATGCCACTCGCTTACGCTCTCCTTAATCTGCTTGATGCACGACTATACCCGGGCGATGCTCCAACAGACATCCAATATGTTGGAGCCGCATAGGGCAATCCCGATCGACCCAACATAACGCTAACGTCTTGATGCATAGGGGAGACTGATATGCGCATATGCTACGAGCAACCGCGTCCCGTGCCCCAACCTTGCGCGGAGCCAACACTTCAACGCCCATCGACAAGTCAGTCGGTGAGCCGTCATGTCTCACAATGGGTTTCCAACAGTCGCGAGTACGCTACACGTGCTTCGTCTCGTGCAAGCATCTCGACCCTTGCGCGACCAAGGCGCTCCCATTCAAGGCCTAGCATCAGTCGCCCAACCAACTTTCGGCACTTCGATGGTCTTGATGATATGCCTTCAATGCTCGATGATGCTTCCGTGCCTACTCGCCGTCGTCGTAGCTTCCGTCCGCTTGAGCTATCCATCTACCTTCCTGACGGTTGTGGACATCTTTCTCCGCTGCCTGACTTCGACGGTGAGGATGCCTGGGCTAGCTTACCATCGCAGCTGGAGCGCCCTGCTGAAGCCCATGTCCGCGTAAGAGATTCGTGTACGAGTTCTGTATCTTCAAACCCTTCTGCCTCATCATTCGTCATCCAACGTAAACCCGTCGGTGGGCAGTCTCGAAGGAGCAGTGTCCAGAGCCAGAAGAGCACCGCGACCCACGAGAGGAGACTCTCAGGAACCACCATGGGCACCATGGCTACGCCCACTCTAGCATACTTGCCAGAGAACTCGCCGATTGCCGTTGATCAGATGCTTGAGAAGCCCACCATCCAGCGATCGCGCACGTCCGGCACATTGTCGCCTGCTCGTGTGCTTTCACGTCTCCCATCGCCGTCGCGCAATCGGGCCAGCACTGCACCATCCTCTCGCCCAGGAAGTCTTCGCCGTACAAAGACTGACGTAGATGATGCCATCCGCGAACTGAACACTATTATCGAAGAGCGCCGTGCCAGCGCTTACCGCTCCCACGCCCATTCACCCGCACTCATCAATCGCCCTCCACCCTCTCCATCTCACCACGTGCCTTACATCGCGCCGTCCATGCGTATGCACGTCCGCTCTGAGACCCTCTCGGACATCGGCTCTGCCTTCTCAGCTCCCCTGGGCTTCAAGCCACTCGCCGCCACCCCAGAAGCTACCGCGCCTCGACGAGCAACGATGGGACTCACACTCTCCCCACCATCCTTCGCTCACACCGGCCCCTTGACCTCGAACCCGATCACGCCGCCACCACCCGCTACACCCACCACACCCATCGCCCGCCTAGGAGCCTGGCTCAAGCGCTCCACCTCCACCCTAGCCTCTTCCTCGCGTCCCACGACGCCAAAGACAGCAGACTCTTTCTACCAATGCTCGCCCTATCCCGCCCTCCCTACCTCAACCTCTCGTCCCTCAACATCCGGTTCCCGCACCCTACACACCCGACAAGAGAGCCAAGAAAGTAACGGCACAGCCACTGTGACCCTCTTCTCTACTACATCCTACGCCTCCACCCGCTCCACCTCGCCTACACCAACGACTCACTCTCTCGCCTCCACCGTCGCTACTTGCTCGCCGCCCCGCAAGCTCCGCCGCGTACCTGCTCCTTTGACGCTCGTAAAGGAGAAGGAGATCGCCGCTGAGGCTGGTCTCTTGAGCGCGACAACAAGGAAGAGCGGTGTCATGAATGTGAAGCCGCCTATGAGTCCTCACTTTGATTTGCTCAAGGGTATGGAGATTAGTGCTAAGGACGTTGGCGTTAATGGTAGGGCAAGTGCGATGGTCATGAGTCCAGGGGCTGTTGGTGTTGCGTTCTAAACATCTTTCACTGGTTTTAGCTTTTGTAGGTTTACGGGTCCATGAGGTATGGTTAGGGGAGTTCTATGTCTTGGTCTGGCAACGGAAAACAGGATCTGGGACCGGATATGTAGGACTCTGGACTCGGCTTTTCTGGGATGGACTTTCGGATGGGTACTCTTGATGTTGTCATGTCGTTTTTTGATATCCACTTTCTTCTTCTTCTTCTAGCGACTTGGGCATATACCCTCCGTTTCACTCTCCTGTTGCAAGCTGTCTCGCTTGTACGGAGAGGCGGATGCCTGGGCGTGTATTCTTAGCTTCTTATAATTTATAGCCTTATGCTTTCTATTCTGCTGTTTCCATACCGTAGTTGCTGAAATGACTTCCTTCGCAGCTTCCAGTGTTGTGGCTTGCGCGTGTATGGGGCAGCTGGAAGGGGAGGACGCTAAACCCTTTAGGGTGTAGTGTCACCAGACGTTGTCATGATTTGTGTCTCATTCTACAACGGATAAATTAGGATAGGAGCATAAGTCATCTTCGAAGCTGCCTGTTTATCAACATGTGATAGCCTGTATACTGCAACTTGCAAGTTGCGAGAGCTTCTGCTCGTGTCTAGATGTCTCATGTGCACCCGCAACTGCACACCTGGCCACCTGCATGGAAGTGCGGCCATCACACTACACGTCTACCTCCACGCCTGCCACGTAGCGTACGAGGCACTTCATTTCACGCGAGCATCGTGATTACTTCATCCTCACCTAAGCAAGAGCTTGAACCCGCGAGCTCTTTCACCTTCAATCAATCGATTTGTTTACTCTTACATTGATATATTTCCAACAGCACTGTTGCATGAGTAAGTGAGCGCCCGGCGAGAAAAGCTGAATACTGACCTGGCAAGATCATTAGTCTTCCTCACTCGCCTTTCGAACACAGTATCGACTCCAGAATCGTATCGTATCCCCCAAGGCGTATCAATACTCATGTCAACACGATTCACACTCTCGATGACCAATGATTTTGATATGCCTTCTTCTGACATCGATGGCTCGAATGCGGATCTATACGCGATGGACCTTCCTTTATCGCTCGCCGGTGAACTGGCCGCACAACAGGCGACAACTCATTGCGCAAATGTCAGCGGTTCAACAGAATCGGAGCATTTAGAACTTCAAGCTACTGCAGAGCCTCCGCCCAGTCCTCCTTTCTTCAAACCAGCATCCTGGAACGCGATTGATGCCACCACCGCGGAATGGCAGGCCAATATGCAGCAGGGGACGCAGCAGGAGATAGCCGCACAAGAGCTTCGCGCTGTGAAGCGTTGTCTGGACCTGCGACGTAACATCACTCGCACCGCCGAAAAGAGGATTTTCGATTCTGAGCCGCTCGTTGTACCCAGCTCTTGGTCGATGTCCGGAGTTCCCATAAAGAGCTTAGTGGAGCATCCGTTTTTGCTTGAGGAGTACCTGGAAGGCGAGCACTTTTCCCGCGAGGCGATCAGGATTCGAAGGGAATACTTTGAAATCAAAGACTGTGGCTCGCCGGAGATCAGGCGTCTCGCTGCCATGGAAGCAGACTACAGAGAAAGCCAGGCGTCACAATCGTTGCTTGATGTCCTGCTAGAGGCCATTCAACATGCAACGCAAAAGCTCATCTTGGAGCTTACAGAAGGCGATAAGACTACGAAGAGACCTGCCTTGGATCTATGTCGACGCCTGGTCGCTCATTCGACCCACACAGATGATGATGGTGAGCTCATTCAGGCCGTGGAAGCGATCAACGATATGGAACGAGGACATATGCAGTTGCAATACGATAACGTTCTGGAACGGTCCACGGAAACTTCGTCAACGTCTTCGATACCTCATGCAGTCGCTCCACCAGACTCACCACCGCCTTATGACATCTGTCTTTTACCAAAGCCAGTGTCGTCGCCACCATCGGTTGAGAAATCTCCGCCCAAGGATCTGCATCGGCTGCGTGTAAAGTTCCAAGAGAATGTGGCATCGCTCAGTTCAGGTAAGCAATATGTAATCCAGCCCTGCAAACCAGCATACTAACTCCGTGCTACCAGGTAAATGGAGAATGCCAGGAAAGAGCCAATCAAAGCCCTCGCCTAGTTCACGCAAGCCACTGAGTGGTCAATCTTTACGAGGTAGAAGTCACCACAGAGCCACCGACATGGGCCATTTGACACATCCCATTGTCATGATGGCTCGAGACCCGTCTTCTGTAGCCTCAAGGCCCATCGACCTTAAACCCGCTCCTCACACCATAATTCGCCCTGCGACTTCAAGACCGACGCCTATCAGGCCGCAAGCAACGCTCTCGCCAGAGTCTTCGCTCGCAAATATTGTCAAGAAGCGTCGGGCAAGCCAGGAATTGGCTGCTACAAGCGATTGTCAAATAAACCCGACCAAACGACTCAACAGGAGCGAATGCGACGGCAACGGAAACTTCACGCAAGTGGAAAGTCACCATGCCAATGTCGAACTTGGTGAGTCTATCTTTCACACATCTTCTTCAACACGCCATTCCGCTAATCAATTAAACAGGTAACACAGCGCGACCGGTATATCTTACATCGAGCCCCCATATGCAAGCAATGCTTGTAGAAGCATGTCGAAAGAGAGATGAGCGGCAAAGGAAAGAAAGGAAGGATCAGAATGACAAACGCAATAAGCGTACATTCTGGGAGGAACAGCGGAGATATTCCGAGGATTCAGGCAAGGAAGATTAGTCGGAACGCTTTCGAAGCCGCGCGGGGCTGTCTTGATGGAAAGAAATTGGTATGATGCAGGCGGTGGGGTCGTGGTACCGCACATTGTAGGGTCATGAGAAGACGTCGAGCATTGGTATCATTGTTACCACCACCAAGCTTGGAAAGCTGTTTTGCTTCAGCAGCGGTCTTTATGCTGCATAACTGTGGTTTTGCGCTTGCTGCGTCTCTTCCCTCGTTCTCGTACATGTGTACTCCGCTGTTGAAATCAATGCACCTTATTGAAGGGAAGAACTGAATACCATAGAGCCGACATTGACGTCGCGGTGCCTTCTCCTCATGTGTTCATGTTGATGTAGGCTCCAGCATGATGAAGCTTTTCCTTATATGAGGTGTGTGAGCTGTAAAAGACGCAGTAGGAGTAGCACACCTTCACATAACGTAACAACCGCATCGACACGGGTCATTCACTCACAAAGCCGTACATCCACCCTGTTCGCACGCCGTCCAAACCAGTGCCCAGCCCACGTGCATCCCTCCCATTCGCTCCCATCCTCTCATCGTCCACGATCCACGGTCCATCGTCCGCCCGCCTCTCATGAGTACTCCACCGCCACACCTCCCAAGCCGCTTCTCCTATACCACGCATAAAGACATCCATCGCGCCATCCCCACACGTGTCTTATCTCTCCCACCTGATTGACAGCCCTCCGCCACGCCTAGCGGATGTCGCCGCTCCAATCTCCCCAACCACGCGCTTTCGGACCAATCACCGTCCCACCTTCCCAAAGAAGCTACAGTCTCGGCCCGCGCCAAACCAGGGTCCAGCGCTGCACTCCGACCAACCAGACCACCCGCGTCGCTGCACGCGTCGAAAACATGCACAAGAAGTCAAGAGAATCAGTGGTATTGCCAAGGGCTATCGGCGCTCGCGCATGGCCGGTGGCATGTTGTTCTTTGGCTGTGATAGGCAAGTCGCGAAGATGAGTTAGTCGAACGTGAGGTGGGGAGGTGTTTAGTAACGGATGGGTCGGACGGCCAGCGGCGATAACTGTCAGGAACAGGTCAAGTGGAGTGTAGCGCGATCGTCATTGATAGACAGCAGCGGAACCGGGTTCTTGGAACGCGCTTCTTGACTTGGTAGCATGGTAGCAATGCGGATTATAAGAAGATAGGGCCCGAGCCTCAATTCTGGAATACGCTATTCCGGTTCATACCTTCGTTTTGACCCTTTGTTATGGCGCCTTTGACGCGACTTCTCGCCCTTTCGGCTTCGGTGGCGGTTTCTACTGCGCTGACAATTGCGGAGATCAATGGGAATAAGTTTCTCTCGCCGTACAGAGATCAGACGGTTTCGAATGTTACCGGTGTTGTTACGGCAAAAGGACCTGATGGTCTTTGGTTGCGATCGACACAGCCTGACCGCGACGAGCGGACATCCGAGTCTGTATACGTTTTTGGTCGCACGTTTGGTGCGAACTTGACGGTTGGCGATACTGTTGTTGTGGGAGGAAAGGTGGTCGAGTACCGCTCGAACAAGGACTACATCTACCTGACTCAGCTTTCAACACCAGTATTGCAGGGGCGTCTCGGCTCTGGTGCTGCTGTGAAGCCGCTGGTCATTGGCAAGGACACACGCGACCCTCCGAAAGAGCAATACAGCAGTCTGGATGGCGGAGATGTTTTCGCAGTGCCGAACAACGTCTCGCAGATCAGCGTTGCCAACCCGGAGCTGCAGCCCAAGAAGTACGGTCTTGATTTCTGGGAGAGCTTGACGGGTGAATTGGTCACTGTCAAGAAGCCTACTGCGCTCACCAAGCCCAACCAGTACGGCGACACGTGGGTAGCTGGAGACTGGAAGGTTTCTGGTCGCAATGACCGTGGTGGATTGACCTTGACCGACAAGGACGCCAACCCAGAGGCCATCGTTATCGGATCTCCTCTCGACGGAACCAAGAACCCGACTGGCACCAAGATGGGCGATTCAGTCGAGGAGATTACTGGTATCGTCAGCTACGCTTTCGGCTTCTACCGCATCCTCCCAACTACCGCTATCAAGGTCACTAAGAGCCAGACGCCTGCTCTTCCTCCGGCGACCAAGCTTATATCGAGCGGCAAGTGCGATGGCATTACCTTTGGCGACTACAATGTCGAGAACCTTGCACCTACATCTGACCACCACCCTGACCTTGCCAATCACATCGTGAACTACATGAAGAGCCCGGATATTCTCTTCATACAGGAGGTACAGGACGACAACGGTCCCACCAACGACGCAGGTAAGTGCTACATAAAGCTTTCACAGCGTTCCCGTTTTCCTTGACCGAATGTCATACCCGGGGACGGGGCGCATACGAGCCGCACTCCTCTCCCGCGTCGCACGCATTGAACAGAATCGTCTGACATGTCTAGTCGTATCCGCAAACCTTACCCTCAGCACACTCACGGCTGCCATCTCAGCAGCCGGTGGCCCAAACTACACATTCACCGATATTGTGCCTATTGACGATCAAGACGGTGGCCAGCCCGGTGGTAACATCCGCGTCGCCTACCTGTACAAGCCGAACCTGATTCGCCTCTACAAGCCCAACCCGGGCGGTCCGCTCGATGCCAACGAGGTGCTTGCTGGCCCGACATTGAAGTACAACCCTGGACGTATCGAACCAGCAAATGATGCCTGGACAGCGAGCCGAAAGCCGTTGGCTGCACAGTGGGAGGTTATCGGAAAGGCCGGCGCGAAGAAGCCGAACGTGTTCTTCACGGTCAATGTACACTTTGGCTCAAAGGGAGGGTCGAGCAGCTTACATGGAGATGCTCGACCACCAGTCAATGGTGGCGTAGGTGAGTTCATCAATCTGAGTAAATTCGTGCAACAGTCGTTAACGATATGCTTCTAGATGATCGTCTCGAACAGGCGCGTCTCACCGCAAATTTCGTCAAGGTACGTTGATATGTCGGTTGCGGCTCTATGCGGCAAGGCGGCGCGGAGAGGGGTGGCTGCAGCACGCTTCTCGTACCTTCGTCCCTCGGTGGTACCAAGAACGCCACGCGCGCACGAAGGGAATGCCCTTTCTTGCCCCTGAAACTATGAAGTTGGAGTGCAGATGAGAGCACGGCTGACGTTGAATTGCAGGATATCCTTTCCAAGGACAAGAACGCCCGTGTCGTGACTGCAGGGGACTTTAACGAGTTTGCCTTCGTACAACCCCTCGAAGAGTACACCAAGATCTCAGGGCTCAAGGATCTAGACGAGGTAGTCCGCGAGGACGAGCTCGAGCGCTACACCTACCTCTTCGACATGAACGCTCAGGAATTGGACCACATGTTCGTCTCGCCATCCTTGGCCAAGAAGAGCAGGGCAGACTTTGAGCACATTCATGTTAATACATGGCCGGAGTATGATGCGCAAGTCAGCGACCACGACCCATCGGTAGCAAGACTGAACGTCTGCGCTTAGACGATGCGTTTCGATAGTTTGTTAGACGCGCATAGCCGATGTCCGCGTTTGATAATGCAGACATATAAATACCAAGCGATAACAAGACCCTGATTCTAGATGCTCTCGCGTAATTGAAGATGAAAAAAACAATCACTTTGTGTTGGAACTTACCTTTCGTGTACTGCGAGAAGGCATGTTGCATGTGTTGAGATGACAGTACGCAGTATTGATACCATGTTTCATTGCGGCATGGTTGGCCAATCTCTCTTCTACCATGTTTACGAGGAGACGAGAGAGCACGTTCCCGATGCTGACGGCTGCTTATAACAAGCTAGGAGCCCTGTCGCAGGTGGGCGTATTTTGGCATGCATTCGACCTGTGCCGCAGCAACGCAACTAAATGATCGCGCATCACGCAATTAGGAGCTGCGGAACGTTGAGATGGGTGGAAGCAGGCAAGGGGCTCAGTCAACGCTCGCTGATCTTTTGGATCCCATCCGGCGGACGGCCACGCGACATCCACATGGGCGATCGGCTTGGTGCGCTGTTTGGCGTTTCTAGGCATGACATCGTGTGCGCCATCCAGGTGTTTGGATTCGTAGGTCATTCGCCGGGGCAGCGCAACGATTACAAACTGCCTGCGGTATCGCCGTGGGCCACGTGCGGGTAGTCCAAAAGTCAATGCAAATGCCGTGCCCAGATGTCGCTTGTTGACGGTAGCCCGGGTTCAGAGACCGTCGCAAGTAGCCTCAGACCAGTGCTGTCGCTATCCATGGTGCAGGGTGGTGCAGGGTGCTTGACGCTGCCATGCAAGAACCAGCAGCTTCCATTGTTCCGCTCGCGCCGTGGGCGTTGGACGGCACTGGCGAATTGCAGGAGGCCAGTGCTCCATTTATCCGATGCACCATCTGGGCTCTCGTCAGCTTTATCCCAGTAGTGGACAGCGGGATTTCCAGAGAGCACCAGAGCGCGCGATGCCT